ATGATGTTCTTTGCAGAAGAAGTAGGGCTTGAGTTCATCCTTAGCCATCTCATTAGGCTGTAACGGTCTTTTCACCACCGAGGTCTGCTAACCCTACGATGTTGATCCACTACGCCTTTCGTTGTCGATGTTGAAGAAAATGGGGATCGGGGATGGATGAGCTGATTCGTCCGAGTACTGACTGTTGATATTATCCTTGTGGAGTTTTTGCCATTTCCTAAGGATTGGAATTTCATACGTAAATGGTACACTTGTGGCTTCGTTGTTTTGCTTATGGCGGAGGCGGGCTCCATAAATGCGTCTTTCTTTCCCTTTCTGCAACAATTCCATGGATGTCGTACGAGGTCCCTGACCTGACGGATTGGGCTTGGAAGTTGGCGACCCACTCGACTTATAATGAGCGTAAGCGGCGAGCTTTGTCTAAGGGTAGATGGGAGGCAAAACACCACGATACGTGCTATGTGATTTGCTCCTTTTTTGGAAGGCGCTTTCTTTTTACGCGTACTAACTCCGTCATCGTAGGCATTGGGGAGTTCTTTGAGGCGAGATCGTGCCCTCTCAGAGAGGGAGAAGGATCGTTAGCTTTGGGGCCGAGGGATAATAATAATAATAAGCAGAAAGGGCCTTCACAAAACGACAGTGATTATAGCAAGACGAGTCTAGCCTGGAGGCTCAGAGAGGGTGTATCAGCCGAGCCTATAACGCCTGAGATCTCTAGTTTTAGAAAAACGATCCCCTCTATGCTGCCGTCTTCTTTTCTTGTCAAAGGTACCTCAAGGAATGAGGGTTCTCTGCCGCCTACTTCTTCTCCCGTCGAAGGCACTTCAAGGGATGTTCGAAGCCAGAGGCCGCATATATCGAGCGATCGTATCCCAACCGGAGGCAGTTCTACTGGTGTTGATGGAGCCAGACTAGTAGATGCGTGCTCGACCTTTGAGGAAGCTCAGCGGCTCTACTCGATGGTGAGTTTTGGCCGATCGTATTGGTTTTATAGTTTTTACAATTTTTACTCTCTTATATAGTTTCTCCTTTATAGGCTTTTAACAAGCTCAAGTCTAGCTGCTTTGTTGTGAGACCAGGATGTGAAAAGCCGTGGATGGGGAGAAATCCCTCAAGCTTCTTTGCGCTGAAAGGGAACTCGAGTTGGCACAGTTGCGGTATGAGGCGAGTCGAAGTCTGAACTACGAAAGCTACCTCGAGGAGCAGGTAATTTTTGTTTCAAGGGAGTGTGTGTTTCATTTTCCATCTTCTGAGGCTAATGTTTTGTTTACTTTAGTTGCATAAAAGGACGGAGGACCTGGAATGCCTTTGGAGCAAAGTTGGTCAAAGCCAAGTGTGAGCGTGATGAACTAAAGGCTCGGGTGGACACCTAGGTTGCGGCTAAGAATGATGCTTTGGCCAAGGCTTCCGCCCTCGAAGTGCAACTTCGCAATGCTCATGAGAACAGCTTGGTCCGAACGAACATGATTTCAAGGCTCGAGTCTGAGCTTTTGAAGATGAAGGCTAAAGTTGTGGATGCCCGGGCTGAAGCCGAAGCGTTCCGAACTAAGGCTAACAAGAAAGTGGCCGTCTATTTGAAGGACGCTGCCGACGCTCTTTCTGAGCTGAAGGGGCTCTCGACTAGGAGAGTAGGAGCAAATAATACGTTGGATGTAAATCTCGGAGGGAAACCCTCGAGGAGATCCATGCCAGGGGATTCGATCTCTCGGAAGAGATAAAGCAGGCGGAGGCGGACGAATATGACGCTAAGTTCCTTTTGTCCGATGCTGAAGATAGCGAGAAAGAGACCATCGGGCGTAGATTAGGCCTTTCTTTTCTGATTTTATGTGTAGTGCTTTTAAAGGACATGGAGCTTTGTATTTTTTCACATATACGTATATAAAAGGAAGCCTTGTAGTTTCATTTTTTATGCACTTCCCTTTGCTTTGATGTTTGTCAGTCATTAGCCAGATTGAACTGGTCTTCGAGTTAAAAGGAAACCTTAGGTTTATAGTACGACCCTAGGGCTCGTTTGGCTGGCCCGTATGCTCTAACACGTTTGGTCGGTACGACCTTTTAGTATAAGCCGGCGTTTAAGCTCTTATGCTTTTGCTCTTAGTCATATTCAGTTAACTGTTTCGGGTTTAGTCTCTGAATCGGGTCTCGACTAGAGCTTATTGCCTTAACTTTTTTGAATTTAAAGCTGGCCCTTAGGCTCTTACGAGTTAGGTCGGTGTGACCCTTTATATGGGATGGCGGCAGTGGCTCTTACGCATTGGGTCGGTATGACCCTTTATATGGGCTGGCGATAGTGGCTCTTACGCATTTGGTCGGTACGACCTCTAATATAGGCTTTATTTTTCCCTCGTTAAGAACTTTTTGAAATTGTGTTGCCTGACTCTTCGACGGTTCGATGAAACCTCGATTATGAGTCATTATATGGAGATGGACGAGCACCTTGGGAGGTTTTGCTCGATGGCTGAGTGTTTCAAAGCCTATAGTTTAGAGTTGACCTGGTCGAAGCTCTTTTGCCTTGGAGTTGACCTGGTCGAAGCTTTTTTGCCTATGTCGAGGGTAGTCTGTTTAACCGATTCTTTTCGAAGTAATTGAAGGCCTGTGATTTTATAGCGACGGTCGGGCATCCCCGAGTCGTGTTAGTTTGGCTGGTACAGCCTTATGACCGTAGTCATTGTGTTTGGTCGGAGCCTTTCAGTTCCCGAGTGAAGTAGTTTCGGCGTATATATAGAGGGTATGCCTTTTTAGGGGTCTTACAAGTTCGGATATATAGCCTTAACTTTAAGGTCGGGATGATTCCTTTTTGTAAGGTTTTATAATTTTTACATGCCTTTGGGGTCTTACAATTTTGGTTACTTGGTACAAGTATGGTTCATGCCTTGCTTGAGGTCTTACAGTTTTGGTCACTTGGTACAAGTATGGTTCATGCCTGGCTTGAGGTCTTACAATTTTTGGTGTTTCCTTATAAAGGTTTTACGGGGTCGAGGTTGCCTATATGGGGTCTTATGGCCTCGGGTTTTGATAAGTCGATGGGATGGCAATTGGCGGCAGTCCCGAGACATTGAGAGTTTTCTTGGCTTTGGAGCCGTTTTTGTAGACTTGACGTTGCCTCATTGAGGGCTTACGAGCTTGAAGCTTCCGACCCGGGGGTCATACAATTTCGAGTTTTTGACGTCAGTCCCCCTAGTTTTCAGGACGTTCTTGGCTTCTGGAGCTGTTCTTGTAACCTTGATGTTGCCTCCTTGAAGGCTTACAAGTTCTAAGCTTCCGACTTGGGGGTCAAACGTCTTCGAGTTTTTGACTTCAGTCCCCGAGTGTTCGGGACGTTTTTGGCTCTGGAGCCATTTTTGTAAAAATACCGAACTCCTTTGAAACCTGAAATGCTTTGATGGAGGAAAAGTATTCTTTGATTACTTGGTATAAGTATACACATTTTTGCTGTCAAGGGCTCGGTTATTCTATACGGACATGGTTTATTCGATCGTTTGGCCCGGTACATCATTTTCATATCGAGACCCTATTTAGCACATCTTGGCTTCTCCGAGGAGGTGACCTTCCATGGGGATGCCCCCCTGTATTCGAGGTTAATTAAAGAGAAGCCTTGAATACTTGTTGAGTCTTCCTTAGGCAGCATATGGATGTTGCCTCGTTTAAAACCTTGCCGGTAAAATCCTTTTCAGGATAAAAATCCGGTCGAAGGAAAAGAGTGCAACGTATGCTTTGAAACCTTAAGGTCTTCGAGCTGGATAGCGCTTCGACTGTCCTGGTTGGACACCTGCATGAAGGTTAGTGTAAAATGTAAACAAAAAATAGGAATGGCCATACCTTAGTGGCGATGGTGCTTTGAGCCTCGATATGCTCCCAACGTTCGCTTAGGGGACGTGGTACGGTCCTTTGTTCGTTTTATTCGGGTGTAACCGAGGATGTGCCTCGTGAGCGCTATTTTACTGTTTGCTTATCCTTTGACTCCTTCGATGTCGAAGGCATTGATGCCGGTGCCACATTGTGCACCGCGAACATCTCCTTGGCTGCATGTTGTTCCCAGTATACGGTTTTTATTCTGTCTTTCGTAAGAAATTTCATCATTTGATGCAGGGTTGACGATACTTCTCTCATGCAGTGTATCCATGGCCTCCCGTGCAAGGTGTTGTACCTCATGTCTCCTTCGATGACATGAAACTTGGCATTTTGCGTTGTTCCAGCCATGTTGACCGGGAGAGTGATCTCCCCTTTGGTTGTCTTGCTCGCCATATAGAATCCGTTGAGGACTCGATAGGCGAACACGATTTGGTCGAGCAGTCCGAGCTGCTCCACGACCCTTGACCTGATAATGTTGGCCGAGCTACCTGGATCCACAAGTACACATTTAATTTGAAATGTATTCACAAGAAAAGAAATTACCAATGTGTCGTTATGAGGCTAAGACAGGGTCTCGATGTCCTCGTTGCTGAATGTGAGAGCGTCCTCAAGTATGTAACCTCGAGTCTGCTTTTCTCTGGTAATGGATAGTTTTGTTCTTCTGATAGTGGGTTCCTGTGGGACGTCGATTCCTCCCATGATCATGCGGATGACATGTTGCGGCTCATCTATTTCATTCTTCCTGTTCGCCTCTCTTTCCCAAAATTGATTTTTTGCTCGGTCGTTGAGTAACTCTCGGAGGTGTCCTTTGCTGAGTAGTCGGGCTACTTCTTCCCGGAGCTATCTACAGTCTTCGGTCATGTGACCGTGTGTGCCCTAGAATTCGCACACTAAGTTGTGGTTCCTTTGTGACGGATCCGATTGTACGGGCCTTGGCCACCTAGAATCTCTAATTTTGCCAATGGCAGATACGATGCCCGACACGTCAACGTTGAAGTTGTATTCTGACATGCGTGGTGCCTCTGTCAGTCTTGTGTGCCTATTGAATTCGACTCTACTCACGAGTCCCCGAGGGTTCTAAACTCGGTCTGTTCTTCGATCATTTTGAGGTATGTTACGCCTCGAGACGTTTCTCCTGTCTTCGGTGTATGGCTGGTACCTTTCTTTGTTTGGCTTTTGCTCCTTTGCCAGAAGCTTACTTGGGTATACCGAGCCTAAGGGGACTCCTAGTTAGTCGTCCTTGACCCAGATCTTCGATTGATATCGGTTGTGAACATCCGACCAAGTCACGGCGGGGTACTCAACCAAATTCTGCTTCAGCTGTTTCGAAGCCACCGAGTTTCGTTCGTTCAAACCTTGAGTGAAGACCTGCACTGCCTAGTCGTCGGAGATTGGTGGTAGTTCCATTCATTCCATTTGAAAGCGAGATACGAACTCTCGCAGCATCTCGTTCTCCCTTTTCTTGATTTTGAAGACGTCGGATTTCCTTGTTGCTACCTTGATGGCACCAACATGTGCCTTTATGAAGGAATCTGCCAGTATGGCGAACGAATCTATCGAGTTTGGGGCGAGATTGTGATACCACATCATCGCCCCTTTTGAAAGCGTCTCTCCGAACCTTTTAAGTAGGACAGATTTGATCTCGTCGTCCTTTAGGTAGTTGCCCTTTACTGCACAAGTGTAAGCAATGACGTGTTTATTGGGGTCTGAGGTTCCGTTGTACTTCGGAAGGTCTGGCATTCTGAACTTCTTTGGAATGGGTTTTGGAGACGCTTCTTGTGGGAACAACTTTTGCACGAACTTCTTCGAATCCACACCCTTCAGGATCGGGGGTGCGCCCGAAATTTGGTCGACCCTGGAATTGTCGGTCTCTACCTTCTTGTCTTTGGCTTCTATCTTCTTCTCGCCCGACTTGATCTTCTTTGTGAGGTCCTCGAGCATCTTTATGATGGCGGAGTCGGCTACCGACTTGTTGTTGCTTGATCTTTCTAGTACCTGCTCGGCTTGGGGAGCCATTTTCGGTGCTACCGTACTGGGAGTTTTCCGGTGTCTTTGTAGCTGAGCAATTGCCAGCTGTTGTTCCTGTAAAATTTCAAAAATAACGTGAACGCTAACCTCTCGTTCATCCCTAACTGGGGTTTTCTGAGCTTCTTGTTGGTCTCCTTGGCGTACGCTCCTGTTAGTGTGGGAGCTTATATCGACGTATTGGGCATCGCGTGAGACCACATCCGTGGGGATTGGCTCCGGCATGCCTTCAGGGTTCAGCGGTGGTGCGCCAACACCTGGAACAGCTACACCATTCTCCCCATGGTCCTCAAGACCGTTGTTTTCATATGCATTTACTGAGTTAGACATTTTGACCTGAAATCAAAGATTCTTGGACAAGAAAAAGCGTGAAAGATAACTTGTGTTATGTAGTAAACCAGCAAGAAAACAATCACTATCATTTTTAGCCCCACGGTGGGCGCCAAACTGTTTACCTTGAAAATGGTAATAACAATTAGATTTGATTTTGTGGTTCTAAAAATATGTGATCTATTTTTATGCTAGTTGTTAGGCAATAGATGCTAAGTGAAAGATTAGAAAGAATAAGACAATAGCTTGTAGATAGTATAATAATCAAACCGAATGCCTAGAAATCGGAGCCTCGAGCTTGTGTGTACGGGGCCTCGAGGTCGAGTCGGGTGCCCGACTAAGGGCAATCGATGGAGGATTAACAGTTATGATAAATTCGATGGCGGCACTTTATGACCAATAATGAGCAATAAATGAAGAACAATAAATAGAACACAATAAATGTAAGCAATAAATATTAGTAGTGAGATCAAGAGAATATGTTAAGGTAAGAAGCAGAGAGAATGTTCTTGTATATCCAATATTGAGTATTAGATGATCCTTACAAAATGACAAGGATCCCCTTTATATATGAGGGGGGAATCCCAACATAGTACAAATGCATTTATTACAAAGATATGAGGCTGGTATAGCCATTTAATGCCACGATACGGGCTCATGCTAGCCTAATAGACCTAGATCAGCTTTAATCACGTGCTTTGGGAACTTCCCGTCTGCCCATCATAGCCTTTGATTTGTAATGCCTCGGGGTCGATCGTTGAGAACCCTCGGGGGCGAACTTCGAGCTAAACTTCGAGTCTTCCGGGGGTGGTCTCTATGAGGCGCCCTAACAATCATAAAATCGAGTTCTTCGATTTTATCCGTATACAAAGTTGACAATCCATCATGCATTATATAAGGTAGGGGTGTACATAGGTCGGGTTGATTCGAATTTTTCAATTACCAAACCAAACCAATTGTGTCGGGTTAGTAATTCTAAAGACCAAACCAAACCAATAAAACTCGGGTTTTTCAATCTCGATTTTTCTCGGGTTATTCAATTTTTTGGGGTTTTTTTCGGGTAAAATTTTCGTAGCACAAAACATATAAGTTGTGCTCAAAATATTTCTTTAATCCTAGTAAGCTATAACTATATAAGATATTTTTCAAGAAAATAATACAAAATATGAGATGTGTCATGGCATTATCCTAAAATATTCAACAATAAAGACAATAAGATTATGCAATATAAATATTGCTAATTAAAAAGCCATAACAAAAACAAATATAATCTAAAAGTACTAAATCATGCTAAAATAAGTAGACTAATAAGGAAATATTAATTACATGACTAAATGCTAAAGAAAAAATAAAAATAGATTATGTATTTTTATCTAAATTATTGCAAAACAAAAAATAGATATTCAATATATTGCCGTTCATAATATTGAATTGAATGTTTTTTATTAGCATTAGTATTAATTTGATTTTGGTTTGGGCTTTTGTTAGCATTATTCCAGTTACTAATATTAATGACTATAAACTAATTGGAACATTCAAAAGTTTAAATAATACCATAAAAGATAAAATTATGAAAAAATTTAAGAAATATTTATAAATTACATCACAATAAGTATATTTATATATTAAATATATCTAAAATTTCTATATATGTAATGTCGGGTTGATTTGGTTTCGGTTTGACTTTCTTTAGTTAAAACCAAACCAAATCAATTATGGTCGGGTTTTTTTCTCCAACACCAAACCATAGTCGGGTTCTTTTTCTCGGTTTGACTCGAATTATCGGGTTGGTGCGGTTTATCGGTTTCCTTTGTACCCCCAACGAGTTAAGGCAATGTATCATCCTCCTACATGTATTTACCTTTGGCTGTTAATGTATAGTTCCTCCCACCATACAGAGATTTTTTTTTTTCCTTCCCCTTAGTCCACTGTGACTTTTGACAATAGTCGTGGATAGTATTTAAGGTACTAATGAAAGGGCAAGATTTTATTTATTTATTTATGTATTACCCGCATTTTGTAACTTATCTCGATTAGAAACCGGCAAAACTAATACAATTTCATTCTTCCCTAACTTACTGCATTCATCCTACTTATCCATTAACGTCTAAAAACATTCATATAAAAGGGTTCACTGTTATACAGAATAGTAAAAAGGCTTCTGTGATCATTGACCATAAAAATAAAAATGATGCGTTAATCCTTACCAACTTGATCTAATTTTAGTATTTGAATTATTGTTGGTATCGATCAATCAATCCTATTTCCGAGAGGGTTAATTGACAATTGAATTAGATTTTGGCCATTATTTTCATATCCGTAACAATGCAAAATGAAGGCCAGTACCAAATGGTACCGTGCATAATAGCTCTTCCTTACACTATCCGTATTTGTTTTTACTTTGAAGTTTACTATCTCGATTAATTTAAATTTGCGTCGATTAGGCTCGTTAGGGAGAGGTAAAGCTACTGAATGATTTCTTCTATTCCTAATGCACTCTTAAGATAGTGCTTTCTAGAATGGGATAGTGTGAAGAGGTTTAACTTGGGATTTTTGGTTCTGTTTGTTTGCTGAATAATCAATTAAGTTGTTGAAAGTCAATAAAATATAGAAATCGAAAACCAATACGTACTATGATTTTTGAGAATTGAAAACACTGGTAATAGGGTTAATAATTATTCTTTCCCAAATCAGCAACAACATGGCACTTTATATGGTTCCATTACCATACTTATTTGTATTAACAAGAAATACGAACGCTCGATCATTTGTTAGTGGTTGAGTTGCAGTTATCTATAATCTGGGTTTGTCCAATAAATAACCTTCAACCACGTGCTAAGCACCCTTCCAAGACATCGAACTTCTTGCCTTAATTAACTTAAAAAACTAGACTACTACGTTATTTCAGGATGGTACATAAAAAAAAAAAAAGAACTTAACCTTTCTTAGGCATGCAAGTGGCCAAATTGCCGCGTGATGACTATCTAGTGGCAGATCCAACATCAAACGTCATATATGTGCAAAAAATAAGTACAAATAAAGTAAAACCTACGGTCTCGACTAAGAGCCCGTTTGGACATAAGAATTTTTGTACTTTTTTTTGAATTTTATTTTATTTTTTTTCGAAATCAGTGTTTGACAATAAAATTTTCAGCTTTCACTTGAAGAAGAATTTTGGAATTTTGCGAAAATTTGAAAAACTCTAAAAAGTTGTTTTTCAAAATTTTTGACTCAGATCACTCACAAAACTTCAAAAACAACCCAAAATTATATTCATGTCCAAATACAACTCTAATTTTCAAATACTATTTTCACTTGAACTATTTTTTTCACTTTTTTTTTTTGAAATTATACAATTCTTATGTCCAAACGCCCACTAAGATCTCACACCGTTTAAACAAAGGAAGATCTCTTTTTGCATATTCAGCAGCTACTCTTCTTAAACTTACTAATTGTTAAGCATAAAATTAAGATACATCCGCATGAAGGGCCATAAGCCCATAATCCCTTTTTTTGCAAGAGTATAGACATTAATTCTTTTACTTAATTCCATCTAACGTGAGAATATATGAAGGAATATATTATTCATTCACAATCATATCCAAATTCCACATGCCTTCCCTCTAATAGAAATTTGTACTATTTCTATATATATATATCAACGAGTGTCACTCAGAAACCATATAGGCACCTTCCTCTTGTGGTAAGTTTCATGCACTTGCAAATGTAACTAAGATCTGATCTTTGTTTTACTGTTTAAATCATTTCACACATGACATGCATATCCTTTCCTTTTCAGTAAACTCAATAACTAGTTAAAAATCATTAGTCTTGGAAATGTCATATATAGTAAGCAGTACAACTGGAATGGGAAAATTAAGGAAGTGCCCACTCACTTATTTTTGTTGCATCCACATAGGTCTAACTAATTGGTGAAAACATTCCACTCATGGCTCGGCAGAGTTGGCTGGACTACAATGTGAGTTTCACCAGTTTTTTGTTGTTACTAGTTGAGAGTTATATTTCTGATTGTGTGCTGAATAATTTTTTAATTCTGCTTAACAAGGGTAAGTCGAAGAACACACTTACGACAAGACCTAGAAGGTGTTTCGAGAATAGTTTCACTTGTTACAATCATCAATCATCAGAGATAGCTAGCAATGCAATGCAGTTCTTGAGTCGACCGTGGAGCCCATCTTCTAGTGATTTCCTGCAAATGTTTTCATCAAGTGTAAGATACCTACAAAAATTCAGTCAGAAGCATAAATTGCACCCTGTAGTTTATATACATTGCCCATGGTGCCTTGTTGAACATGCATGCATAATGATCTGCTTCTGCAGAATAATCTCTTGTTGAAAGACACAGAGGATTATGATGCAGAAATGCTGGACAGCTCAAGCAACAGAGCTATAACCAACAAGCACTACATTAAGGTGATCAATTGGAACTCTCTACACATGCTTACAGCAAAGGCCATTTAATTTAATGTTTACAGTTGATAAATGTCTATAGTTAACATCTATTTTTGTTATTGATATTATTTCTAATGGTGACCTCATAGTTGGACTTGCATCACATGAAGGGATGGCTAAAAAGCAAATCTCCATTTTCCTTCTTTAGATCATCGCATCAAGAGAAGAAAGAGAAACTCCGGTTACAAACTGCAAAATTACATGCTCTACTTTCTCTCACACAGCTTGCTTCAGCAATTTCTGGCTTTGCCAGCAATAGCAGCTCCGGAATTCTAGACTCACAGCAAATTAATTGGAGCCACAATATGGGTAATGTAGTTGCTTCTGCTGCAGCTCTGATGACAACAGTATGTGCCGAGGCAGCAGAATCTCTGGGAGCAGGAAGAGCTCAGGTTGCATCTGCAGTCAATTCTGGCCTGGCCATCCAAACTCCTATGGATATGATCGCAGTGACAGCAACAGCAGCCACATGTAATGCTTTCTGATTTTCTTATGGTCACATTAGCAATTGTCAATGAACAGCTCATTATATTGCTTGTTACCAGGTTTACGAGGAGCTGCAATTCTTAAATCAAGAGCCTTGGATCATTCCTCTCCTAGGATCCCAGAGATGCTCACTGCAGGCACGCGAATATGGATAATAATGCCCTCAGGTAAGAATCGTATTTCCTGAAACCTTCAAAACATAGAATCAGAAGATGCTTTTTTCACTCCGTTTCCTACCTGCCTAAATGTTATACTTTGAGTTTCCTGTTATAACACGACAGGACATAAAGAGGACAAATGGGTGACCCTACACCTGAAGCAAAACCAGCTCATACTGAGCCTCAAAAGGAAGTATTTTGGAGCTTTAACAACTTCAAAAGAATGTAAACTACCTATATATTCGGTTTCTTTCATTGTTGCTTCAAAACTTGATGGTTCTCACCTATATTGTGCTCCTAAGACTAACAAATTACCCTTATGCAGACAAGCTTATCAACATCATAAGAGAATGTTTTGAGGCTCAAGACGAGTACTTTGTTAGCTTGAAGACGAACAATGGCATCATCAAGCTTCTTTTCAAAGATGAAACGCAATCAAGCATCTGGATATCTACCATTTCCAGTGTCTTAATATCCTCTTGAGAAAGAGGTACAAAGCATTTGACAAGTCTAATAATATTTCTTGAAATCATGCTCAACCTCGTATATCAAAAGTAGATGTTACAACTTCCCGTCCCACAATGTAATTATATATGTAAAACACAAGTTTTACACAAACCAGCAGTTGAAAAAAGGAATAAATGCGCTGAAGTAGAGAAACAGTTCAAAGTCACAAATGTGTGACAAAATATCCAGTAGAAATTTACAGCAAGCATCTTTTATTTTTCCCTGAGCAATGGTTATGATAAATGTTTCTATGAACAATGAAATGGACCAAAAACCATAAACGTGAATATCAGATCAGGCTTATATGACACTTGGAATATGAGATCTCAAGTCAGGCTAATATCATTTAATCAAACTTTACGTAAGCCTCTGACTCCTATTTCAAAAAGGCAATTTTAATTGTGAGATTAACCATGAAATGCTTGATATACAACACATTGAGAGATAGCATATCTATCAAATTTATAAAGAAAACACTATGAAAAATTACCCTGATGACCAGATTATTAAGCTGAAAGAGCCATCCCTAGAGAGCAAATCACGAGAAGGATTAGAGTCCGCTGGTAAATTTCCAGATATCATTAATATTTTGGAAAAAACTCTCAATTTAGCAACTCAACTCTTCATATTAGGAGTGAAAAGAAATTCATATCTATTTCATACCATGTAGATTGAGAGGAAGCTTATAAGTTCGGAATTCTAGTTGTTTAAAGTTAGTGGATTCTAAATTACTACTAATAATTTATACATATTGAATGAAATTCTTAGATAAATACAAGGTTTGGACCAAAACTAGAAATTTCAATCAAACCTGTAACCATATTCTATTAAAAGGTATTAACATAAAGCATTGAATCTGATATTATAACAAAAGGTCCCCTTTTTTTGGTCATTGAGTATTTGTTTTGTTTTAGAAGTAGTAATCCTTTGATGTAATTTCCTATTACAAAGCAATAAGACAGTGGAGTCGGTACAAACTATTGGACATTATGCCCTTCTACCCACTGTTTTGTGCCTTTTTAAAGTATGTTTTTCAACTTTTATTGGCTAGAATTTTGGGATCTTTAAACAATACCTTAGCTTCTTCTTCCCAAAAACATTTAAATTGTCCTTATGTACCCAACTTCATCGAGCCAAGGCCGAAAATTGAGAATATGATTGTTTACCGACTTTTGTACTCAGATCTCGTCTTGTATTTGCTGCTGCTACTATACCTACTAAAGACAATCAGATGGCTGACAAGGAGAAAACCTCCCCAATAGAAAAAATGCAGTGAACAGGGAAGGCCAAGTCAAAATGCTATCAGAAATTACTGTTGTGAATAAAACCCAACAAAAATAATATTCACGGTAATAAAAGCGGAATAATAACGTAGTATCGAGATACGGTAATCAACAAGAATAAAAAGAACAACAAGAACACAAAGATTTTAATGTGGAAAACCCTTCTGAATAAGGGAAAAAAGTACGGGTCCGAGAGGAGCAAAGTAATCCACAATAATGAGAAATTTTATACTCCGTAGTCCCGAGTAAATACTATAGGAACCACTATACACTCAAAAGAAATAACCCTCTTTTGAAATTCTCACCTCACTACAATATCGCTCACATTCTACACAGACTATTTTTCTATCTGTGAAATATTTGAAGCTTTGTTGCTTCTGTGTGTCTAAAGAATGAAGCTAATGTATCTATTTATAGGAAGAGTGACCTCACTTTCAACCAATCAGAAGCTTGCCTTGTTGCAACTTGCCAATTCGATTCTTGCAAATTGATATCAAAACCAGTTTGGTCAAAACTTATTTCGACGATCTGACAGCCCGCCATTTGCTAAATCCAATTTGGCATCTTGCAAATTTTCTTCTTCTTTTTTCATTATGGGAATGGACTCCACAATCTCCTCCCCCAGACTCATACACCTGAAGGAGGAAACACCAGACTTCTAGCTTGAGTACATGCCGACAAGATCTTTCCACAATTCAAACTTGTCTCTTGGTACCACCTTGGTCAATATATCTGCGAGATTCTCACTTGTAGAAATCTTCAAGACTTCTAGAGATTCATTCTCTTCCATTTCTCGAATCTAGTGATATCTCACGTCGATGTGTTTGGTCCTTGCATGGTACATGGAGTTCTTACTAAGGTCTATTGCACTTTGATTATCACAATAGACGACATACTCCTTCTGATGCAATTCAAGCTATTGAAGGAACCGTTTCAACCATATCATCTCCTTGCCACCTTCAGTAGCGGCAACATACTACGCTTCAGTTATAGAGAGTACGACAAACTTCTGCAACCTCGACTGCCATGATATAGCTCCCCCCTAAAAATGTAAACAAATATCTAGTAGTGGATTTTTTGTTATCAATGTCACCTGTCATATCAGCATCTGTATAGCCCTTCAAGATTAGATCAAATCCTCCAAAGCACAAACAATCTTCCGTGGTACCTCTCAGGTACCTGAGTATCCACTTGACTGCTTCCTAGTGTTCTTTTCTAGGATTTTCAAGAAACTTGCTGACAACACTAACTACATGAACAATGTCAGGTCTAGTGCATACCATTGAATACATCAAACTTCCGACGGCAGAGGAATAATGAACTTTGGTCATGCTTTCCGTTTCCTCCATTGTTGTAGGACATGTCTTCTTGCTTAACTTCACATGACTAGCAAGAGGTGTGATGACTGGCTTAGCATTTTTCATGTTGAAGCGTTCCAGTACACGTTCAATGTACTTTTTCTGAGACAGCCACAACTTTCTGCTTGTTCGCTCTCGAACTATCTTCATACCCAGAATTTGTTGTGCTGGGCCCAAGTCCTTCATATCAAATGACTTGGACAAATCTCCCTTCAACTTTGCGATCAACTCCTCATTGTCTTTTCCTATAATTAACATGTCATCCATATACAACAACAAAATAATAAAATTGCTATCAGAATTTTTTTTGAAATATACACATGGATCAGAATATGTCTTTATGTAAGTTTGACTTTTCATGAATGAATCAAACTTCTTGTACCAATTCCTTGGTGCTTGCTTCAACCCATAAAGACTCTTATTCAGTTTTCACACCATATGTTTCCTTCCAGCTACTTCAACTTCTTCTGGCTGCTCCATATAAATCTCCTCTTCCAAATCTCCATGAAGAAATGTAGTTTTCACATCCAACCGTTCCGCTTCAAGATCTAGGCTAGATGCTACGCTCAAAATCATTCGAACAGAAGTTATTTTGACAACATGTGAGAAAATTTTGTCAAAATCAATAACTTTCTTCTGTTCGAAGCCTTTAACCACCAATCAAACTTTGTATCTGACCAGCTTGCCATTTCCATCTTTCTTGAGTTGAAAAACCCATCTACATTGGAGTGGTCGAAAGTTCAACCAACTTATTTGTGCCATTTTTTTGCAGAGATTCCCTCTCTTTTTGCATAGCTTTCATCCACTGGTTTTTTTTGGATGGGACAACACCTCTTTAAGATTTTCTATCTCCCCCTCATCACTGATGATGACATAATCTGTGTAGGGGTACCTACATGACTCTACCCTTGGCCTCTCTGAGCTCCTCAGAGGTTGAGGTTGTTCTTCTTCCTGAGTGGGGTACTTCACTTGCTCGGCGTCATCATCAAGTTTCTCCCCCTACTCAATAACCTCACCAGGTTGCTCCCCCTGCTTGGCAAGCTGGTCGGTCGTACTTTCTGCACTTGTGGGATAGTTAGAAGAAGAAGGAATGGTAACAAGGTTAGGGATTATATCATTCTTTGTCTTCTCTGACTGGTCATCTACAGTTCCAACTTCACTTTCTCGGAAGACTACATCTCTGCTTCTAATGACCTTCTTCTTTACAGGATCCCACAATCTGTACCCGAACTCTTCATCTCTATATCCGATGAATATACAGGGAACAGATTTATCATCCAACTTTGTTCTCTACTCCTTTGGTACATGTGCAGAAGCTTTGCAACTAAACATCTTTAGATGTGAGTAGGACACTTCCTTGTTGGTCCAAACTCTCTTTGGGATGTCAAACTCCAATGGAGTGGACTCATATGGACTTAGGCAGTTTAGCCATTCTGAGCATGCTTCTCACCTTCTCAACAATGGTGTGGTTCATCCTTTCGGCTACGCCATTGTGTCGTGGGGTTCCAGGAACTATTTTTTCATGTATGATCCCATGACTTGAACAGTACTCTTCAAATTCCCTTGAAGTGTTCTCACCTTCATTGTCACTTCGGAGATGCTTTAGCTTTCGACCCGTCTCCCTTTCCACCAGAGCATGAAAGTTTTGGAAAACTTGAAACACCTGATCTTTGGTTTTCAAAATATAAACCCATAATTTACGTGAAGCATCATCAATAAAAGTAACAAAATATTTGTTACCTCCCATCGATTCAATTTCCATTGGACCACAAATATCAGAATATACCAAATCAAGTATATTCAATTTTCTTTCAGACAATGTTTGAAATGAGTCTCTATGCTTCTTACCAAATAAATAATAGTCACAAGGTTTTATCATTGTACCTTTGGCAAAAGAGATGAGTAAATCTCTTCTCACTCATATGACCCATTTGTTGGCCCAAGAACAGGTGAAGTTTCGAAGAATGACAAATAAACTTAGTCATGGACCAGGTCCATCTTGTGAAGCACAGTCATGATGAACCTATACATGTGAGGTGCACGTGAAGGAGATAAGTCATACTGATCAAACAACAATATCTCCTGATTTGATCAAAAAGTTTTCATATTGGATAAGGGGATAAAGTCCCCTTATATGAAGAGAACACAATCCGGGATAGAGATAGTGTTGGAGTTTGAGATCTTCAAGAACTCAATTACGATAGAAGATCAGCAATTGAATCCCGGTGAAACTCTGATTACTAACCTATTAAATGACAGTGATTGTTCTCTTTTACAGATTTTGCACAAACGCAGAAGTTAAACTAAATTGAGAGAAAAAGAGCAAGGCAATTTT